CAGGTAACATTTTACAGTTGCATATATGTGAAAGGTGGCATTCTAGAAGGACAACTGAATGGCTGCTCAGTACATTACCATATGCAGGGCTGACAGCATTGACTGTTCTTAAGGTTGCCTGCCACATCCTACCTTGTTTTCAGTTGCCAAACTTCAATCAATTGGGTTGAAGTTTTCAATGCCAGGTGTCTGCCACAGGCTGAATTTAGTTTTGGAAAATTTCAGCCCAAAGGATTCAGGGGATAACGGGCAGGAAAATCAGATGAGCCCAGGGAGATTGGGAGTAGGAATCAGTGAGGATGGGGAATGCAGGTGGGTGGAGGGGTAGATGGGAGGCTAGAGTTTGGGCAACAGAAACATCAGATGAGGAGCCAGGAGAAGGAGAACAGACTGCATGGCAAGAAAACTGGGGAAAAGGAGCTGCAGGGGGAGTGGAATTGTGCAAGGAGACAAACTAGGCATGAGGAAGCGAGACTAGGATTTACTGAGCAAAGAGACTGGGATAGTGAACCAGAGAAGTAAAGACTGGGATTAGCCAGATGAGAATGGGACTGGGATGAGGAGCCAGGGGTGGAGAAAACAAGGGAATGGGACAAGAATAGGTTGGAGGGGATGAAATAGATGGGATCATGCCGGGCAGAGGAGGGAGGAGAATTTTCAGAAGAATTTGTGCCCACTACATCGCACTCTTCCAGGGAGTGGTATGGAACCCAAGATTGCAGAGTCTCACCATCCCTCTACAGTCAGTAAATACATATGAAAGCCACTGATAAAGTGCCCATCCCTCTCTAGTGCTGGTGCAGAGGATGACATTCTACTACTGATACTGTTTATACTGGTAGTTTACTTGGCAGAATCTGTGTGGTGGATCTAAAGGTTCCAACCCTGTTGATGAAATGTGTGTGTCAATATAATGTCACATGATGGCATTTCTGTTTTTTCAGGTTGCTTTTTTAAAAACCTAGGAAATTCCAGACACGAAAATTACATTGAAAACTTTATTAAGGTTGCAAAGTCAAGAAGTGAAAATGTATGAAATACCAGCGTTAAAGTTGTCTTAATTCCGCAGTCTGCGTATGCATTATGAGTCTTCAATTACATGATCACATACTAATTTTCCACAAGACCCCTGCCTGATTCAGAAGAGAGGATGGACTGCTCTGAAGGTGAACCAAGGATTTGTTGAGAAGGAGGCTGTTTATGTGTAGGAACCGCACTTAATTTGTTGCGGAAGTTGGATGGTGTATAATGAATGAGGCAGGAGATTTCAGGGAGAGAAAGGATGGTTTCATGCTTTAGGTATTTGAATGTTGCCTTCTTGAATTGGATCCCTATTTCTGCCTCTGCCACAGAATTGCTATGTGAGGCTAGTCAAGTTGCTTAAACTAAAAACTTTTCACAGGCGATTGTTAATATTGTGTTCTTCATTTTCTGAGTATCCAACGTAAGCACATGAGGATTGATTTGTAGAAGTGCTGAACAGTCACAGCCGCAACTGATGGTTATTGGAGCACAATACTCTGAAAAATCAGGTCACTGGTGTCTCCATTTGGGTACCCAAAATTAAAGATACTTTTGACCTGAATCTTCCTGCATGTAAAATATTAATAGGGAATTGGGAAAATAAATTAACACTCAGATACTATAGTGATGAGCACCAAAGAATTATTCATTTCCTCATGGGCTTTTCTATCTTCAAGAGCAGGGTTTGAATAGTGTATAATAAATAAGGCCTAGGGGCATACAATGAACAATGAGCAGAAAACCAAATTTTGAACAGTTGCTCATTAAGTCCTAACATCCATCTTGTGAACTGAATGAGGCAAGGGTCCTATGGGAAAAAATAGTATGTGATCATGTAATTAAAGAATATATCATAATACATATGCACAAGGTGGCCAAATTAATGTTACATAAGCACCATTAATTTTGGTAATTTCTAACTTTTGACCTCTTGACTTTGCAATCTTAATAATGTTCTGTTAATGTAGTTTTTTGGTGAGTAATTATATAAAGTGATCAAATCTTAAAGTTTATTTGTGCTTAAATTTGTAATTTTGCATCCTCAATACAAGCAGCCTTTTCTATGAGATAAGAGACAGTAAAAGACTGATGAAGTTATTTCATCAAGACAAACATTTAAACTGTCAATCTTCAAAAACACTATTACTAAACTGCAAATATTAAATCCATTAAAAATCTGAAAAGAAAAAATTGTTGGGTCTCCCCTAATAAAGAGTGTTTACTTTACTGAGTTATTATCCTCTAATACAAATGCTTTTTTCCCTTACTATATAAAATTTTCTACTCAAGTAAAGAAATACATTAACAAGACTTTACAGCCATAACATTAATGAGAACCCACTGGAAATTCCCTTACCTACACAGAGATGCCATTGTGTGGTATTATCTGATCTGTTCATTTTCCTCTCCTCCCTCTTGTTGGCCACAGTCATTCTTTTTCTGCATGTTGCACAACTGCTGCTAGCTGAGGACCAGTTTTAATTAATGGGTAATCCTATTTCCTTTTACTCTTTTCTACAGATGCTCACTAGAGTGGAAAAAGACCAGTTTTCCAGTGAAGAAATGTACAGAAAACTGTGTTCTAAAAGCTTTCCCAAACACAGGTATACAGCTAAGACAGCAGCAAAGACCCACTCCTCTGTCAAAAAGGAATAATTACAAAGTTACACCCTGACTTCAGGACAACAGGATTTGCCTTTCCACCAAGCCCCACAGTCACAAAAGCAAGACTGTTGCCACTTGTTCTAGTTAAGTTCACAGGTGCCTGAGGTGCTTAGCTATAAAGAAGAGAGACAAAGCCAGGAGAAATGTTGTATTGACCCACTTCAGCTTGTGGCTCTAAAAGTGAAACCATCTAGTTCTGGGTGGTACTTGGTGGTTTTTGTGTTTAATGATTCAGTTGTTTTCCACTTTTTGAGAGAAAGCAAGTCTGGAAAAGAGGTTTGATTGGAGTGTGCTCTGCACAGCAAATCATTGCACAGCTCCATAAATCTCTGACATGAAACCTATCTTTGCAGTTTCTTTTGAAAAGATTAAAGCAATAATGTGGTGCCTTACAGGGTGGGCCATAACTAATGCAGGAGATTAAGGTCACGTCTATGTTACAGGGACTCTAGAAGCAGATACCCAGTGCCGCAGTTATGCTAGCATCACCCAATAGCGTAGATGCAGCCTGCAGTGAGGGAAGGAGTTTTTCCCATTGCCGTAGGAACACCTTGTCCCCATCTTATGGCAGCTAAGTCGACGGAAGCATGCTTCTATCCACCTAGTTATCTCTCCCTTTGGGAGTTAGGTTCAGCATAGGTAGGATGCCCAGGGGTGTGGATTTTTCATACCCGAACATTGTAGTTACATCGATCTAAATTTTAAGAGTAGGCCAGGTCTAAACTTCTTCACTTTGGAAAGCCTCCTCTAAAGAAAGAGAACTCCTTAACTAGGACCTAATCACATGAGATACTGAGCACTCTCATTTCCTCCGGCCCTGCACTTTGCTGAATCTTGTCCTTAGCGGTTTGTAAATGGCTTTGAAAATGAAAAAACACGACAGCTGCTAAGAATTTATCATCAAGGATTGACTGGAAATTTGTGTGCGTGTATGGGGGGCGGTAATGAAGGGGATTTTTGTTGAGAGGGGGAGAGTGGGTGTCTACATAGGCATTTAATGTGGGTTGTTTGTTGAGGGTGGGAGAGGTATTAGAATGGGGCTTAATAGCTGTGATACTTTTATTCAGTAAAGAGAGGTTGTGCACCTTCTCTCTCTGTGTTGTGGGAGGAGATTTAATGATCATGAACCCTGCTCTCCCACCTGAGTTAATTTCTGTATGTTTGGCTCGTCGGGATAGATTGTAAAGTCTTCCAGGAAAGGAATGCATCTTAACTTTTGTAACGTGCTTTATAAATTGCCATGTACATTTATGGCCTGGTATACAAAGATATACAATGTTTGTTTTAGTAGATTTCAGCCAATCAAGATGTTCAACTTTCAGTGAGCTCATCTTTTCCCCAGCAGGTAGCATTAGCACACAGTGAAGTGAGTGATCAAGACATATAGGCTTGCTAACAGATGGCAGCATGATGCAATCAAAAAGGCAGGCCACCATCTATATGAGGGCATTCAAATAGGCCAGAGTCAACTGATGTTATTTGACCAGTCAACTGATCAGCTTATCAAACCGAGTTTAGAATGATCTTAACAGAACACAGACTCTTCATACTTTCATATATTTAAAACTCACTCAAATCTTGTTCGTAGGCCATATGTTTCCTGTAGGCATTAAAGGCAACTAAAAGAATTAAGGACAAACAATTAAATATAAGTAAAAAACCCAAAAATTAAAACAGGGTTGTCCGTACATAAAAATAACCTAATGAAATCCTCAAGCCTTCCCGTTACGAAAGGCAAAACAACAATTGTTATTACATGAAAATATGTCTACCAATCTGATGAAATAGACAAACGGATACAAAACATATTCTCAAATGGACCTGCCTATACTGACAAGATGAAACAATGTACTGCATTAGATTCTTAATACATTTAATTAGCATATGCTTTCTTTGTAACATCTATTTTATCAATTATATATTTGAAACAATTTATAGACATGGTTCTCAATTTATTTAAGATACATCCATGAGTCAGCTAGTTCCTAACCAATATTTTCACTTCGCCAGCTAATTAATTTCAAATATGGTTATTAAAGTGGCCCAGTGCTGGATTAAAGACATCCCCCATTGCTTTTACTAGAAATTACAATAAAAATCCTAATATGGTAAAAGTTTAATACTGTATGTTGGAGAAACCACATACATATCATTATAAAATAAAAGGCTATTAATATTCAGTGAACTGTAGAGTCAGATTTCTTAAGCCATCACAAAACCAAGCCTGAACTAAAACTTAAATAAGAGGTTTCTACCATACGGGGTACCGGGGGATGGGGTGGGGAGAAGGGGGAAAAAAACAACAGTAAAAATGAATGTTTCACACACTATTTATTTTAGTCAAAAAATCACGATCAGGCAAAATTATTTATGGTGGTTTGGTGGTAGATTGTAATTGTGTATTTTCGGCACCACAGCATTTCTAAGCAGTTGATACAATTCACACCAGAACATTGACAGACAGACAGACTTTAAGGTAGCGTGCCTATGTCCTTAGCTGTGGAAGGATGCTGAAATAAGATCAGACAAAATGGCACACCAACATATTAGAGCGTGTTCAAGCACAACAAAACCATAGTATTCTTTTAACATAGATATAAATTGAATGAATCACACCACAGTTAGAGTGTTCCTCCCTTTCATATGGCTATATGGCATCAGACATATATTGCTTCAAACAAGTTCAACAGAAAAACTGCCAATGTTTTCATTTGCCTATTCTCTGGACCACCCAGTCCTGTTGACAGAGGGGACAGCGATTGTTCTGTTTCACCCATAGGGACATGCAGCAATTGTGGAAGGAATGATTACATTCTCCCCAGACAACTGAAAGAAAAGAAAAATACTTGATACGTTCCAGTTACACTGTTTAATATAGATGTACAAACTACATTCACAATTAAGAGGTCTAACAATCTAACTCAGATTTTTACAGCAAATAGAGGGCTATATGATATTTGAGGCAATAATACATTATAATGATTTACTGATTGAGACTAGATTAGTGTTACTGGTTTGAAAGTATTTTCCATAAATAGAATATTGTGTTCTACAGGGTTATGTCTCACACATTCATAGATATTTAGGTCAGAAGGGACCATTATGATCATCTAGTCTGACCTCCTGCACAACGCAGGCCACAGAATTTCACCCACCACTCCTGCAAAAAACCTCACACCTGTATCTGTGCTATTGAAGTCCTCAAATCGTAGTTTAAAGACTTCAAGGAGCAGAGACTCCTCCAGCAAGTGTCCCGTGCCCCATGCTACAGAGGAAGGCGAAAAACCTCCAGGGCCTCTTCCAATCTGCCCTGGAGGAAAATTCCTTCCCGACCCCAAATATGGCGATCAGCTAAACCCTAAGCATATGGGCAAGATTCATCAGCCAGATACTACAGAAAATTCTTTCCTGGGTAACTCGGATCCCACCCCATCTAATATCCCATCACAGGCCATTGGGTCTATTTACCATGAATATTTAATTACCAAAACCATGTTATCCCATCATACCATCTCCTCCATAAACTTATCGAGTTTAATCTTAAAGCCAGATAGATTTTTTGCCCCCATGGCTTCCCTTGGAAGGCTATTCCAAAACTTCACTCCTCTGATGGTTAGAAACCTGCATCTAATTTCTAGTCTAAATTTCCTGGTGGCCAGTTTATATCCATTTGTTCTTGTGTCCACATTGGTACTGAGCTTAAATAATTCCTCTCCCTCTCCAGTATTTATCCCTCTGATATATTTATAGAGAGCAATCATATCTCCCCTCGACCTTCTTTTGGGTAGGCTAAACAAGCCAAGCTCCTTGAGTCTCCTTTCATAAGACAGGTTTTCCATTCCTCGAATCATCCTAGTAGCCCTTCTCTGTACCTGTTCCAGTTTGAATTCATCCTTCTTAAACATGGGAGACCAGAACTGCACACAGTATTCCAGGTGAGGTCTCACCAGTGCCTTGTATAATGGTACTAAAACCTCCTTATCCCTACTGGAAATACCTCTCCTGATGCATCCCAAGACTGCATTAGCTTTTTTCACGGCCATATCACATTGGCAGCTCATAGTCATCCTATGATCAACCAATACTCCAAGGTCCTTTTCCTCCTCCGTTACTTCTAATTGATGTGTCCCCAGCTTATAACTAAAATTCTTGTTATTAATCCCTAAATGCATGACCTTACACTTCTCACTATTAAATTTCATCCTATTACTATTACTCCAGTTTACAAGGTCATCCAGATCCTCCTGTAGGATATCCCTGTCCTTCTCTAAATTGGCAATACCTCCCAGCTTTGTATCATCCGCAAACTTTATTAGCACACTCCCACTTTTTGTGCCAAGGTCAGTAATAAAAAGATGAAATAAGATTGGTCCCAAAACCGATCCTTGAGGAACTCCACTGGTAACCTCCCTCCAGCCTGACAGTTCACCTTTCAGTAGGACCCGTTGTAGTCTCCCCTTTAACCAATTCCTTATCCACCTTTCAATTTTCCTATTGATCCCCATCTTATCCAATTTAACTAATAATTCCCCATGTGGCACGGTATCAAACGCCTTACTAAAATCTAGGTAAATTAGATCCACTGCGTTTCCTTTGTCTAAAAAATCTGTTACTTTCTCAAAGAAGGAGATCAGGTTGGTTTGGCACGATCTACCTTTTGTAAAACCATCTTGTATTCTGTCCCATTTACCATTGACTTCAATGTCCTTAACTACCTTCTCCTTCAAAATTTTTTCCAAGACCTTGCATACTACAGATGTCAAACTAACAGGCCTATAATTACCCGGATCACTTTTTTTCCCTTTCTTAAAAATAGGAACTATGATAGCAATTCTCCAATCATATGGTACAACCCCTGAGTTTACAGATTCATTAAAATTCTTGCTAATGGGCTTGCAATTTCATGTGCCAATTCCTTTAATATTCTTGGATGAAGATTATCTGGGCCCCCCGATTTAGTCCCATTAAGCTGTCTGAGTTTCGCTTCTATCTCAAATATGGTAATGTCTACCTCCATATCCTCATTCCCATTTGTCATGCTACCATTATCCCTAAGATCCTCTTTAGTCTTATTAAAGACTGAGGCAAAGTATTTGTTTAGATATAGGGCCATGCCTAGCTTATCCTTGACCTCCACTCCATCCTCAGTGTTTAGCGGTCCCACTTCTTCTTTCTTTGTTTTCTTCTTATTTATATGACCATAGAACCTTTTACTATTGGTTTTAATTCCCTTTGCAAGGTCCAACTCTACTTGACTTTTAGCCTGTCTCACTTTATCCCTACATGTTCTGACCTCAATAAGGTAGCTTTCCTTGCTGATCCCTCCCTTCTTCCACTCCCTGTATGCTTTCTGCTTTTTCTTAACCACCTCTCTGAGATGCTTGCTCATCCAGCTTGGTCTACAACTCCTGCCTATGAATTTTTTCCCGTTTCTTGGGATGCAGGCTTCCGATAGCTTCTGCAGCTTTGATTTAAAATAATCCCAGGCCTCCTCTACCTTTAGATCTATAAATTCTTCAGTCCAATCCACTTCCCTAACTAATTTCCTTAATTTTTGAGAGTCAGCCCTTTTGAAATCAAAACCCCTAAATTAGCCACTAAAAGCATGTCTACCAATTTATTTCTAATTCAAGAGACATATACACATACTTTCATATTCTTACACATCTGTAGAATGCTTAGCACGGTGCTGTGCACTATATAAATACATAATACTATGAACACTACTGAGGGACGAGTGAAGGCTGTGAGTGGTTTTTACTGGTTCATTAATTAGGTATAGTTAGTGTACCATTTCAGTGTTGATTTTTCATCATGTACCAAAGGTTTAAGGGCATATGAGCAAATTCTAATTAACATTTTATTTGAATTTTTAAAGTTCAAAGTTGTGATACATGATAAATAAAATACCATAGGATATTACTACATAAGCATATAAAATGGGCTCTCAGCTACATCAGAGATTGTTCAAAGGCTATAATAATTTTATTCCACCCTTGCTTGTTTCAGTGAAGTTCTTCTGTTATATCTTCTAGCATATATCTTAAAAGAAGATACAGTAGCTATTTCCTATCTAACTCAAAAGTCTACAGTAGTCTGTCCTGAATTATAGAACTAGTTCTTCCCAGTCACACACATAAATGACTACAGATTTACTCAGTCAAGTACTTTTCTGACAGTGTGTCTTTTTACATTAGTATTGCTGTACAGTTTATTTTTGCTCATTAATAAAATTAGTATTATCTTCAAACTTAAAAAAGCACCCCACTGAGAAAACGCCTTTGCTGAAAAACATGAGAATGAAATCACTACATACCAACACAATCTTCTTGTTTGTTTTCAGCTTGACATCTAAGACAGGCATCTAAAAGCAAACAAGAACAAAACTCAATTTGATGCTCAGAAGACAATTCTTAAAACTGGCTTTTCTAATGGAAATATAAACCCTGAAACATATTTATAAAGGTAAAAGCTCGAATTCTGCCACCTAGTTCAATTGTATTTATTAGATAAAAAGGAATTTAAAATACATACATTATACATACCAAAAGAATAATATACGTTTACAGATGGTAAAAAGAACTGGAAACTGTAAGACCCTCCATTTTGTTGTGACATTTTCACAAGCTCTGCTGCAAAAGACATCTCCTTTTTGTATATGTGACCATTGGGAGACTTGTGCCAAATCCTCTCAAGCATATTAAAAATTAAACAAGAGAACTGCAAGTATACATGCAACCCCCAAGTTCAGCAATCTGTTTTTCAGACATCAGCATCTCCTTTTAAGGAAATCACTCACAATTCTATTGACAGGTTTCAGAGTAACAGCCGTGTTAGTCTGTATTCGCAAAAAGAAAAGGAGTACTTGTGGCACCTTAGAGACTAACCAATTTATTTGAGCATAAGCTTTTGTGAGCTACAGATGAAGTGAGGTGTAGCTCACGAAAGCTTATGCTCAAATAAATTGGTTAGTCTCTAAGGTGCCACAAGTACTCCTTTTCTTTTCACAATTCTATTGTTTTTCAGCCTCCCATCAAACCCTGCCCCACACCATCTTTTTTACACAGAAATTTTACTTGATGAGTACCTTAAACTTCACCAGAATATAAAAACACACACCCACACCCTATACTTTTAGATCATTTATTAGTCGTGTAATGTAAGTGAAGAGACCACACCATACTTTTAGATCGTTTATTAGTTTTACTTACATTGCACAGAGACCAATGGGGACATATAATACATATTTTTTAAATGGGTGTCTAATCTTGCAAGGGACAGAAAGGAATAAGGATATGGGACTTCCAGTTGGAGTAGTACATCAGCTGCTGCTCCACACTATGTAAGCAAAAAGAAAAGGAGTACTTGTGGCACCTTAGAGACTAACAAATTTATTTGAGCATAAGCTTTCGTGAGCTACAGCTCACTTCATCGGATGCTGTAGCTCACGAAAGATTATGCTCAAATAAATTTGTTAGTCTCTAAGGTGCCACAAGTACTCCTTTTCTTTTGGCGAACACAGACTAACACGGCTGCTACTCTGAAAACTATGTAAGCACTTACTGCTGCTCCCACTTCAGATTTCTCACCAAGCCCTGGTCTACACTAGGAGTTGAGGTCGAATTTAGCAGCGTTAAGTCGATTTAACCCTGCACCCGTCCACACGACGAAGCCCTTTTTTCAACTTAAAGGGCTCTTAAAATCAATTTCCTTACTCCACCCGCGACAAGGGGATTAGCGCTGAAATCGGCCTTGCTGGGTCAAATTTGGGGTACTGTGGATGCAATCAGACGCTATTGGCCTCCAGGAGCTATCCCAGAGTGCTCCATTGTGACCGCTCTGGACAGCACTCTCAACTCAGATGCACTGGCCAGGTAGACAGGAAAAGGCCCGCGAACTTTTGAATTTCAATTTCCTGTTTGGCCAGCATGGCAAGCTGCAGGTGACCATGCAGAGCTCATCAGAGGAGGTGACCACGCAGCAGTCCCAGAATAGCAAAAGAGCTCCAGCATGGACCGAACGGGAGGTACGGGATCTGATCGCTGTATGGAGAGAGGAATCCGTGCTATCAGAACTCCGTTCCAGTTTTTGAAATGCCAAAACATTTGTCAAAATCTCCCAGGGCATGAAGGACAGAGGCCATAACAGGGACCCGAAGCAGTGCCGCGTGAAACTTAAGGAGCTGAGGCAAGTCTACCAGAAAACCAGAGAGGCGAACAGCCGCTCTGGGTCAGAGCCCCAAACATGCCGCTTCTATGATGAGCTGCATGCCATTTTAGGGGGTTCAGCCACCACTACCCCAGCCATGTTGTTTGACTCCTTCAATGGAGATGGAGGCAACATGGAAGCAGGTTTTGGGGACGAGGAAGATGATGATGATGAGGTTGTAGATAGCTCACAGCAAGCAAGTGGAGAAACCGTTTTTCACGACAGCCAGGAATTGTTTCTCACCCTGGACCTGGAGCCCCCGAACCCACCCAAGGCTGCCTCCCGGACCCGACAAGTGAAGAAGGGACCTCTCGTGAGCGTACCTTTTAAAATACTATGCATGGTTTAAAAGCAAGCATATTTAATGATTAATTTGCCCTGGCATTCGTGGCTCTCCTGGATATACTCTCAAAGCCTTTGCAAAAGGTTTCTGGGGAGGGCAGCCTTATTCCATCCACCATGGTGGGACACTTTACCACTCCAGGCCAGTAGCACGTAGTCGGGAATCATTGTACAACAAAGCATTACAGTGTATGTTTGCTGGCATTCAAACAACATCCGTTCTTTATCTCTCTGTGTTATCCTCAGGAGAGTGATATCATTCATGGTCACCTGGTTGAAATAGGGTGCTTTTCTTAAGGGGACACTCAGAGGTGCCCCTTCCTGCTGGGCTGTTTGCCTGTGGCTGAACAGAAATGTTCCCCGCTGTTAGCAATGGGGAGGGGCTAGCCACGTGCTGGGGGGAGGCAAAATGCGACCTTGTAACGAAAGCACATGTGCTATGTATGTAATCTTAACAGCAAGATTTACCGTGAAAGAGTGTACCCATTGTTCTATAAAATGTGTCTTTTTAAATACCACTGTCCCTTTTTTTCTCTCCACCAGCTGCATGTGTTTCAAGGATCACAGGATCTTTTCCTTCCCAAAAGCTAGTGAAGATTAGAAGGCGAAAAAAACGCACTCGTGATGAAACGTTCTCTGAGCTCATGCTGTCCTCCCACACTGACAGAGCAAAGACGAATGCATGAGGCAGACAATGTCAGAGTGCAGGAAAGCACAAAATGACCGGGAGGAGAGGTGGCGGGCTGAAGAGAGTAAGTGACGGGCTGAAGAGAGGACTGAAGCTGAAAGGTGGCGGCAGCGTGATGAGAGGAGGCAGGATTCAATGCTGAGGCTGCTAGAGGATCAAACCAATATGCTCCAGCGTATGATGAGCTGCGGGAAAGGCAGCAGGAGCACAGACCGCCGTTACAGCCCCTGTGTAACCAACCGCCCTCCTCCCCAAGTTCCATAGCCTCCTCACCCAGACGCCCAAGAACGTGGTGGGGGGGCCTCCGGCCACCCAGCCACTCCACCCCAGAGGATTGCCCCAGCAACAGAAGGCTGGCATTCAACAAGTTTTAAACTTTTGAAGTGCTGTGTGGCCTTGTCCTTCCCTCCTCCGCCACCCCTCCTGGTGCTTCTCTCCTCCACCACCCCTCTTGGGCTACCTTGGCAGTTATCCCCTTATTTGCATGATGAATGAATAAAGAATGCATGAATGTGAAGCAACAATGACTTTATTGCCTCTGCAATTGGTGATCGAAGGGAGATGGGGAGGGTGGTTAGCTTACAGGGAAGTAGAGTGAACCAAGGGGCGGGGGGTTTCATCAAGGAGAAACAAACAGAACTTTCACACCGTAGCCTGGCCAGTCATGAAACTGGTTTTCAAAGCTTCTCTGATGCGCACCGCACCCTCCTGTGCTCTTCTTACCACCCTGGTGTCTGGCTGTGCGTAACCAGCAGCCAGGCGATTTGCCTCAACCTCTCACCCCGCCATAAACGTCTCCCCCTTACTCTCACAGATACTGTGGAGCGCACAGCAAGCAGTAATAACAGTGGGAATATTGGTTTTGATGAGGTCTAACCGAATCAGTAAACTGTGCCAGCGCGCTTTTAAACGTCCAAATGCACATTCTACCACCATTCTGCACTTGCTCAGCCTGTAGTTGAACAGCTCCTGACTACTGTCCAGGCTGCCTGTGTACGGCTTCATGAGCCATGGCATTAAGGGCGTAGGCTGGGTCCCCAAGGATAACTATAGGCATTTCAACATCCCCAAAGGTTATTTTCTGGTCTGGGAATAAAGTCCCTTCCTGCAGCTTTTGAAACAGACCAGAGTTCCTGAAGATGCGAGCGTCATGTACCTTTCCCGGCCATTCCACGTTGATGTTGGTGAAACGTCCCTTGTGATCCACCAGTGCTTGCAGCACTATTGAAAAGTACCGCTTACAGTTTATGTACTCCCTGGCTTGGTGCTCCGGTAGACAGGGATATGGGTTCCATCTATGGCCCCACCACAGTTAGGGAATCCCATTGCAGCAAAGCCATCCACTGTGACCTGCACATTTCCCAGGGTCACTACCCTTGATTTCAGCAGATCTTTGATTGCGTTGGCTACTTGCATCACAGCAGCCCGCACAGTAGATTTGTCCACTCCAAACTGATTCCCGACTGACTGGTAGCTGTCTGGCGTTGCAAGCTTGCATAGGGCTATTGCCACTCGCTTCTCAACTGTGAGGGCTGCTCTCATCTTGGTATTCTTGCACCTCAGGGCAGGGGAAAGCAAGTCACAAAGTTGCATGAAAGTGCCCTTACGCATGCGAAAGTTTCACAGCCACTGGAAATCGTCCCAGACTTGCTATACTATGCGGTCCCACCAGTCTGTGCTTGTTTCCCGAGCCCAGAATCAGCGTTCCACTGCATGAACCTGCCCCATTAGCACCTTGAAGACCATATTGCCAGGGCCCATGCTTTGAGAGAAGTCTGCATCCATGTCCTCATCACTCACGTCACCGCGCTGATGTCGCCTACTCGTCCGGTATCGCTTTGCCAGGTTCTGGTTCTGCATATACTACTGGATAATGCGTGTGGCATTTAATGTGCTCCTAATTGCGAAAGTAATCTGAGCGGGCTCCATGCTTGCCGTGGTATGGCATCTGCACAGAAAAAATGGGCGGAATGATTGTCTGCCGTTGCCCTGACGGAGGGAGGGGCAACTGCCGACATGGCTTACAGGGTTGGCTTACAGAGAATTAAAATCAACGAAGGGGGTGGCTTTGCGAGAAACTGAATGGCCCCCTCAAGGATAGAACTCAAAACTGGGTTTAGCACGCCGTTGATTTCACAGAGGGAGGGAGGGAGGAGAAAATGAATACAAAACAAATCTGATCTATTTCTTGTTTTGAACCACTTCATCTATCTTTATACATCTTGCTGGCAGCAGACTGTGCAGTACGACTGCTAGCCATCGTCAACACCTGGGTGCTCAGCAGAAGACGGTGCAGTATGACGACTGGCCATCATCTTCTGTTAGCTGCAGATTAAAAGACAGTGCGGGACTGAATCGCCACGAGACGAAACAAGGGAAATGACCTGGCTGAGTCACTCCCATGTTTGCCCAGGCGCCCGGTTAAAAAAGCACCCAGGACTACGTCGATGATGGCTACCAGTCATACTGCACTGTCTGCTGCCAAAAGGCAATAAACTACTGCTGTGTAGCAATGCAGTACCGCGTCTGCCAGCCCCAGGAGACATACGGTGATGGTTACCTGAGCGGGCTTCATGCTTGCCGTGGTATGGTGTCTGCACAGGTAACTCAAGAAAAAGGGCGCAAAACGATTGTCTGCCCTTGCTTTCACGGAGGGAGGGAGGGAACGGAGGCCTGACGATATGTACCCAGAACCACCCGCGACAATGTTTAAGCCCCATCAGGCACTGGGATTTCTACCCAGAATTCAAATGGGCGGCAGAGACTGCGGGAACTGTGGGATAGCCACCCACAGTGCAATGCTCCGGAAGTCGACGGTTGCCTCGGTACTGTGGACACACTCTGCTGACTACATGCACTTAGAGCATTTGTTTGGGGACACACACAATCAACTGTATAACAACGCTTTCTACAAAACTGACTTCTATAAATTTGACCTAATTTCGTAGTGTAGACATACCCCTAGTCAGTCATCAAACAGCAAAGAGAAATGGGAGTGCTGAGGCAGCACTGTTTCCCCAAATAAGACAGAGGAGAGCAGCTTTTCCTTTAGTAGACAATCAGGAGTTTCACTCATTATTTATTATTTGTATTGCAGTAGCACCTAGAGACCCAAACATAGTTGTTCTAGGGGTTATACAAACAATAATAAGTGGTTCCCTGTCCAGAAGAGCTTCCTGTCTAAGACAGGAAATACAACACACAGGCAGGGGAAGCACACAGTAACAGGTGAGATGACTGTGATCATCATAATAATCAGCGGCCACTATCAAATTTTTTGAAGGCGTCATAGTAGAGGAGTGTTTTAAAGAGGGATTTGAAGGAGGACAATGTTGTGGCTTTACAGATTTTTACAAGGAGCTCTTTTCATTCATAAGGAACAGCATGGGAGAAGGTTCTTCTTGGAAAATTTGACAAATGGGCAATGAAGTCTTGGCATATTTGGCAGGACAGAACCAAGAGTCAAAATCTCAATGGTGTATAAGAAATAACAGGTAGGGCACCATTCCAACACTTTAATCCCTGTGCGAACATCTGGGTCTTCAGTCAATCACTTTCAGAAATATCAAATTCACTCTAAATCCTATAACTTTTTAAAAGCTAAAATACAAAGGCAGAGTTCCATATTTAGCTCCACAGAAAACATTTTGATTTCTTTTAAACTAAGTCTTTTTTCCCTTTAATTCTGTGATTTGACACAATTGGCATGAGTAGAGATATCAATTCAGATCTATTCTCCACAGTGCTTTTGTGCTATTTCGACTTCCTCATAAGTCAGGTTCAGTAAAATCCATTACTGGATATTACTAAAAACTGTATTTTTAAGAAAATGTTATTCTATTGCACCTGGGGCTAATTTCTTAGTCCTGATGTGAGCTTTGTCTACCAGCCCAACTAAGACCACATGTGAACTGTCTTCTAACCATGCTAAAACTTTTTGTATAAAGTCAAGCTAAATAAGATATTTTTCACTACTTCATTCTGGGCCAAAGTAGTTCTTCCTCTAGCATGTTCATAAATTCTCCCAGCTCAAAAGACTGTTCTAGACACAGACAAAAATACATGAGAAATGTCTGGGCTAGTTATGTTCGATATTGCCATGATGGGCACTCAGATTGGATTCTCAATCTTTCGCTCTCCAGAACAACAGTGGAAGAATGATTTTGGGCAAGTCACTTAACCTCAGTTTTCCCATGAAAGAGGTTTCTTATCAATTTTTGTAAAACACTTTGAAATTCATGGACGAAAAGCACTATATAAAAGTGTTAAGTATCTTATTTTCTGGAGATTCCGTCTCTACAACACAAAAGATAGTTCAATTTCCCTATTCATTCAGGCCTTAGCCATTTTACTGAAATTGCCAACTGCAGTGGTTTTTGTAATGTGACTAGCAACCTAATGGAAATTGGACAGAAACCGTATTTGCATCATGCAGAACACTGACTAGACATAAGATGGTAACTTGGACTACTCCTTATCCAAGCTGCATTTGTACAGTGACCTAGAGATGAAAAGGCTCTGTGACTCCAATTATTAACTCCCTGAGCTATCCAGTCTCAAACAGCAATAAAAATTCACACTTTTTGATGTATTTAGGTCATCATAATTATATGTAACTGCTATGCTGTCAATGTCTTAATTTGTAAAATTTAAGCTACTTTTAAATATTGTTTTCAGCCAAAGAACAGCTGCAGCAATATTACTGGGAAGTAGATACTCAAGTAACACCTGACACGTGGGTATAAGAGCCTTTTTTTGGATAAGTGTTAATATTTGTAATCAGTTGGGGAGATTTGTACAAATATAATGATAATAATTTTTAGCTAATGCAATAATGTGACTTTACATTTACATCTTTTATCCAAGAGTGGTTTGCAAGATATAATTAACAGATAACACAAAGAATACAGGTTTCAGAGTAGCAGCCATGTTAGTCTGTATTCGCAAAAAGAAAAGGAGTACTTGTGGCACCTTAGAGACTAACAAATTTATTTGAACATAAGCTTTCGTGAGCTATAGCTCACTTCATCGGATGCACTAACAAATTTATTTGAGCATAAGCCGGATGCATTCAGTGAATGCATCCGATGCAGTGAGCTGTAGCTCACGAAAGCTTATGCTCAAATACATTTGTTAGTCTCTAAGGTGCCACAAGTACTCCTTTTCTTTTTACAAAGAAAACACTAGATATCACCCTCAAGGAGCAACCATTTCCTGGTGAAATGTAGCAAGAGAAGAGCAGACTACAAACAAGGCTTCAGCATGGTGAAATAGTTGCACAGAGATGAAGGACTCCAGTAAGTGATCCAATTTAAGCCATGAAACTTCTGTTTGGCTAGTTAAGGAGGATCACCTATTAGGAACAACCACCACATTTGTGGCACCAGAAGCCATGGTCAGTCACCACATGGTAGGCTACAGAGGCTGGTTTATTCCGTGTCCCCTCGCTACATGAGAACTGCTGGGCTAGGTCAACCAACTAGAGTTTATTTCAAGGAAATAAAGAACTGTATGAATATTACACAGTAAAGCTGATTGCTTAGGTGATGCCTCTGGTTATTTATTTCTGGTACAAACACACACGGAGCTACCACTGGTACCATCACCCACTGGTACCAGCACAGGATCTTTTGTGCAATTACTTTTAGGATGTTGGACAAACACAGGCAGGGCATTAGGAACTACATAAATCTTATCTAAAGTGATCAACAGGTGGGCCATTTCCAGCACAAATCCAGGTTTTCTCACCCTCCACCCCCCCACACAAATTCACTCTCCTGCTGGTGCTAGCCCATCCAAAGTGACAACTCTTTACATAATCAAGTCGGGCTATTTCCTGCATAGATCCAGGTTTTCTCACATCCCCCCCACCCCCATACACACACAAACTCACTCTCCTGCTGGTAATAGCTCATCTAAACTGACCACTCTCCAAGTTTAAATCCAAGTTAAACCAGAACATCTGGGGGGGGGGGGGGTAGGAAAAAACAAGAGGAAACAGGCTACCTTGTTTCTAAGTCTCTAAGTCTTGTTTCTAAGTCTCTAAGGTGCCACAAGTACTCCTTTTCTTTTTTTTTCTTTTTGCGAATACAGACTAACAGCGCTGTTCCTCTGAAACCTGTCATAAATGGCTTTGGTATCATCCCACCAAACAGGTCCGTGTGGGAAAGAAGGAACCCAGTATGTTCAAGCTCCAACAGAAACCCCGGGCCTTCCTGGGGAAGGAGGCAGTGAGGTGATTCAGGCCCCCACGATGTGGGGCTCTGGCCGTGGGGAGGGGGCAGTGAGGAGATACAGGGCCCCCAGGCTGCAGGGCTCTCCCCGCGGGGGCGGGGGGAGTGAGGAGATAGAAGCCCCTCCCCCCCAGGATGTGGGACTCTCCCCGCGGGGGGGCAGTAAGGAGATACAGGTCCCTCCCCCAGGATGTGGGGATCTGGCCGCGGTGGGGGAGGGGCAGTGAGGAGGTACAGGGGCTCCGCCCAGGGCGGAGAGAAGGCCGTGGCCCACCGGCGCTTACCCATGACCTGTACCCGGCAGATGGCGCAGGTGTCGCACTCCACGTCCCAGCTCCACATGGCCACCGCGTTCCACTTCTTCAGCGAGAACATCTTGTCGGCAGCGCCCGCCTTGGCGCCCGAGGAGCCCGGGTGAGAGTGGGGGGCGCCCGGCTCGTCTCCGTCCTCCACGTCGGCCATGGCGGAGGGCGGAGACGCTGCGGCGGAGGAATGGCTCTGGCTTCTCGGAGCCGGGAGTGCGGGGCTGCAGCGCCACCCAGCGTCGAGAGCGGCGCCACCCGCCCGGCCCGGCCGGGCTAGCTGGGCGGGGGCAAATGGGAGGCCCGGGGAACGGACCCGAAGCCCCACCGCTTCGGGAGCAGAGGTGGGGAGCCAGCAGCAGGCTCTAGTCTGCGGAGAGCTCAGGGCCCCTCTCGGCCACCCCCTCAGCACCCCGGCCCCGCCATGGAAGCAGGGCTCCTGCTGGCGGCTGCCTGTAGCGCGCTGATGCTGTGGGAAGGGCGAAGTGGCCCCGTCGCTTCCAGGCTCCTCTCGGACCGACTGCAGGGGAGCTCGGACTCCCCGGAACATCGCCGCCGCGGGGAGCCCGGTCGCGGGGAGGGTTGTTTTTAACCGTCTTGGGCAGGCGGCTGGGATTTGTCTGGGGATTTGCACTGCGCCCATCGCCGTGCTGTCCAGGCACTAGCGCTTGTCATTTCAGGCAGTGGTTAAAGTAGCTTGACACAGGAGGGGAATCTCTCCCCATATTAGCCAAGGGCGCGCTGTGGGAGAGGAAAGTGAGTTGGGCTCCTTGCCACCCTTGAAAGCCGCTTAGAAACGGGGGAAGGTCTTATTCCCAGGTAAAGAGGGTAAGGTCATCCTCAAGCACAGGTGTTTGCACTGGTTCTAGCAATGGAGTTTCTGCCCGACACAGTGAATGGGTTAACACTCCCCTCACTAATAACAACCCCAATCCCTTGACCATTTTTTCTCTCCCTCCAATAAATATGATGTTAGATTCCCCTTGTCACCAGATGTTCATCCGGGCCCTGACTGACCTTGGGCCAGCCCCGCTATCCATATGAGGATATGTCTGAGCCAGCCCCAGAAACTTGTAAACTCCACTGTTTTTGCAGTTGTTAGAATATTCACAGTTCTCAACACTCCTACAGTGAAAAAAGGGATTTAGTGGGAGGGTTGATTTTTTTTTTTTTAAGGTTTATTACAAACCAGTATCCCCATTCCATTCTTCAAAGGGGGCCTGTTACAGGAATTTTTCTATCTCTAGAAGAAATCTTTATTAAGGACTCCCTCCCTCACAGGTTTGTCCCTTAAATTAGCGTCTATCAACTATAGCAGTCCCCCAAGAACAACCATTATTCACGGTTAAAGGTTTAAAACAAGTAGGATTAATTAAAAAGCACTCCGAGGTTTAACACCCAATAGGTGTTAAGCCTGGACCCAAAACCAGAACAACGTGGGTTACAAATAACACAAAGTGAAGTAATCTACTTTATTCAGTCTTGTGCAGGTCCTCAACGATGTCTGACTGGGACTGGACCACATGGGAACAGGAATACCCGACCAGGAGCCACAAATCAGGAACTAGGGAACCGCGGGACAGGAACAACGGAGCAGGAACAGAGGCTTCAGGAACAGGTCCGTGTCTTCTATCTTCTGTCTTCTCTGATGTTAGGTGGAACAGGCACAGTCTGCCACTAGGACAGGCAGCATGAAGCATACTGTGATGAGTCCTTATATAGTCTTTGGTTACTGGGCAGGTTTTGCCACTGGGGTCAGGTGACCCTTGCCCGCCTTTTTGGGTTGCCGGGCAGATTCTAAACAGACTGCTAGGTTTTCCTGCCTTTTCCTTGTTGCTGTGCAGTTTCAGACATTAGGTGCTGTGGCTTACCCAATCAGGATAAGAAATGAGAAAGAGCGCCAAACAGAATAGAAAGGACAAGAAACCAAACAAAGATGGAGGGTAACAAAACAAAATGTCAGCTGCCCCGTAACAGTTCCCCTCCTTGATGGCCAAGTACAGTCTTCTACTTGCTTGTGCTATCACTAATGGTTACACTGTTGTCGTACAGGACTCAAATTTTGGTCGTCCTATGTACAAAACTATGTTCAAACAAAGCCAATCTGTAGTGGCATTTGATATCTGAAAAGAATGACTTTACAATACTTTACTTGAAATTAATTAGTAATTAGTCCTTTTACATTGTTAACTTTTCTTTTTACCCAACATACTAAGAGTATCATACAGATAATGATCAGAATTTGAAGTATTAACACCACCAACACTGGGTGCAGCAAAACACTCCAAGCCTTACTATAGTAAGCAGACCCGTTAAACAGATTTTCCCACCAATGGCTAAATGCTGATTCCTTTGCTACTCATTTGAGAATCTTTTTGAGTTTTTGGGTAGAATGGTGCACTGTTATCGTTACTACTTGGCTTTCTTTTTCTAATTATTTTATATATTTCTTAAGGTCAGGATGATACATCATTTGCTTTAAAACAGAGCGTCCCTGATGTAGCCTCTGTCCCTCATGGCCTCTGAGATTTTTTGAAATGTTTTGGCATTTCGTCTTGTGGAACGTAGTTCTGAAAGCACGGATTCCTCTCCCTATACAGCGATCAGATCCAGTACCTCCCGTTCGGTCCATGATGGAGCTCTTTTTCGATTCTGGGACTGCATGGTCATCTGTGCTGATGAGCTCACCTGGCCAAACAGGAAATGAGATTCAAAAGTTCCCAGGGCTTTTCCTGTACACCTGGCCAGTGCATCCGAGTTCAGAGTGCTGTCCAGAGCAGTCACAATGGTACACTGTGGGATAGCTCCCAAAGGCCAATACCTTCGAATTGCGTCCACACTAACCCTAATTCGAAATGGCAATGTCGATTTCAACGCTAATCTCGTTGGATAGGAGTACAGAAATCGGTTTTAAGAGCCCTTTATGTCGAAAAAATGGCTTCGTTGTGTGGACGGGTGCAAGGTTGATTCGGATTTAACGCTGCTAAATCTGACAAACTTGTAGTGTAGACCAGGCCTTTGTTTCAAAACTTATTTACAGTTCAATAGCTGACAAAACAATTTTCAGTGCAATTAGAATACATCAGGATAAAATTATGTTGACCAGTGGGAGTATACAAATTAACCCTAATGGAATCAATTAGGTATTGTAATCCCATTACAACATTGAACATACAAAACTTCCTTTACCCATTGTGTTAGATTAGATCTCATGTATGAATATTTGGAGGACCCTGTTACTTTCATTACATCTGAACAACTAGTCAGGAAGTCATCACTAAAAAGCCATGCACATGTGACAAAGCTTTTGCTTTTGAGAGAGAGTTGCTCTTCCTCTGAATCATAAAATGTTATTTCCTGTGTATTACTGTTCACAGTTAAGGCGGTTATGGTCTTACCACTAACTTCTTCCTTCCAAACTATGTAACAGTCCTTCTCTTTTTCATTCACATAAATTATAATTGTTCCTTTTAATGGGCAGGATAGTATCATACTTTGTTCAGCCCTATCCCACTCATAATTATAACTTTTGTTTACTTGACAATAAGTGTTCCCCATTTTTAATAATCATTAAACTTGACACGTATATCAATGTACAAAAACAAATTATTGAAAACGTGGTGTGAAGGTTTTCCTGACGGAAAGAAAAGAAAAGAGAGAAAAGGATTTATTGACATCACTTAACAAATCCCTTCCAGTCCTTTAACTGTGATGAGTGAAACCATTTAAGGGTACCAAGTATCAGGGGGGTAGCTGTGTTAGTCTGGATCTGTAAAAGCGGCAAAGAGTCCTGTGGCACCTTATAGACTAACAGACATATTGGAGCATAAGCTTTCTTTTTCCCTTTTACCTCCACCTGGTAAACTGTTGGGCAAGCCTTGTTCACGGTCACTACTCGACCTAGACATTTGGGACTTAAGGCATGGTTCTTCTCTAAATAGAATCTATATAAAACCCTGTCACCTACATCCCATTCCTTAGGATTTAATATACTGCCCAATCTTTTGTCCATTTGCTTTATATTGCTTCTTAACCTAATAGCAACCTCCTTCTGAATGGTGCTAGTAGTGCTTAACAGCTTGCTCATAAACTGATTCATGAGAATACATAGTTGGTGGTCATCAAGCAGCATTTCGCCTGGCCACCATTGCTCAGGTGTCCTCATTATTCTGCCATGTATTATTTCATGGGGGGTATACCTATGTGAAGCAATTGTAAATCTCATAGCCATAAGTATTATTGGGAGTTTTCTATCCCAGTCCTTTCCTGACTCTGTCACTATTTTTCTCGAAGCAGTCTTTAAAGTCCAATTAGTATGTTCCACTAACCCAGAGCTTTGTGAGTGACCAGTAACATGGAATTTGTTTTTTTCCAAATGCTTAGCACATGCATTTCATTATGTCACCTACAAAATGAGGTCCTTGGTCTGAATCTATTGTGTCTGGTAAACCTAGCCATCATACTGGCCACATTGTTTTGGGTCCGATACGCCTCTATCCACTTAGAAAAGGAGTCTACCAAGACCAGGCAATATTTATGCCAGATCCAGTTTGGGGCAGTGGACCTATGAAATCGATCTGTATCCTTGACTATGGGCCCATATGGCTGGTGTATAAGAGGACCTTTAATTATCTTTTTGTTTGGATTGTTTTCTGCACAGGAAAGACAATTATATACATGCATTTCTATATCTTTAACGAGGCTACCATCGGACAGTTAAAATTCTGTTGACCTTTATCTCTATTCCAAAATGCCCTTAGTTGTGTGCTAAAGTTATTAGCTCCTTTCTCAAAGAGGACAGAATTACAAGTACATGGATTTGCTTGTTTGTGTCTTTCTTATGAGCCATAACCAAGTTATTCTTGTCCTTGAATACTTTGTAGTTCTTGTATTCTCCTTTCTCAATCAGTTCCTTCTGTTCTTTATTTTGAATCTGTAGAGATGTTAAATCTAATCAAGATGTTGGGTCACCTGGTTGCACTTTTCTGACAATATTGGTGGACATGGTCCACAGTTTTTCTGGACCCAGAAGACCTGCTTGTTTGGCTAGGGAATCCACCTCATTATTGAATTAAGATATTTCACCCTGGTTTTCCTGTGCACTTTCACTTTCAACATACAGATTTTTCCTTCTCAAGATTCGGCTATTTTCCAAGCATGGAGTAAGTACTGGGCATGAGCTATTACTTTCCCATCTGCGGACGTCATATTTCATTTGACTCATACTGACATCTGGTTTCTCAGAACATGCACAGCCCAATCTGAATCTGAGCAGATTAATAAATCCATTTCTGGACTTGCTGCTTCGATGGTAGCTGCAATGGCCACAACTTCTGCCACCTAAGCCACATGTGGAATTACCATTCCATGAAGTATTTTGTTGGTACTTATTTGTAGGGAATCATATCCTGTACATGGTTTGCCTTGATGGTAATAGCATCTTCCATTCACAAACTATATGCCCACTCCCAACTGTTGTGCTTGTTTGAAAGAAATTCCTAGTTGAAAGGGGGATTCCAACTGCTTTGAGTCTTCATAGGGAATAAGGCATTTTTGGTCCTCTCCTTGTACCAGTAATGCATATGGTACTACTGACAAATTCTGTACTTTCTCCACTTCTACATTTCAGTTGAGGAGGTGTAGGGTCCATCCAGCCAGACGTGAAACTCTGCCTTCATTAATCTTGCCCAATAGCAAATACTTAATTGGCGTATGCGTAGTTCTTAGTACGACTGGAGACATTCCTATGATATACTCCCAATGCTGGAGTGCCCAGGTCAATGTACGTACCTCTTTTTCACATGGTGAAAATCTTTTTTTCTATCTCACTCAGCACTTGAGATCCAAAAGCTACTGGCTTTGCTCCTACTCCCGCATCTTGCAATAACACTAAACTTTCTCAGTGGTAGCCAATTGTAAGTAGAAAGGTTGATTTGGCTGAGGATAGGCCAGAGCACGAGCTTTTATAAGAGCCTTTTACAAGTTATAATTGGCAAAATGCTGCTTCTTGTTCTCTGCCCCAGATCCACTCTTGGTTCTTTTTCAACAAGGTATAAAGAGGCTGGGCAACTTCTAAATAGTACTTGATGAAGTCTCTGGGAAAAACCTGATTGACCTAGGAAGGATCGCAGTGCTGATACATCTTGGGGAGCTGGTAGCTTACCAATCAGCTCTATTCTCTGGGCATTTGGTCTTCACCCAGATTTACCCAGTTCTATTCCAAGATATGTGACCTTCTGTTATAATATCTGTGCTTTTACCAGATTGATGATGAATCCAGTTTCTTGAATTCTACTTAATACAGAGTCCAAGATCTTAAGGTTTTCTTCTTTGGTTGTGGTTGTGATTAGCACATCATTTACATAATTGATCACATTACTCTTGCCATTTATTTCATCCCACATTCTAGTGACAAATTTATGGCAGATTGATGAGGCGTTATGGTATCCCTGAAGGACTCTACTGAATGTCAACTGTCGATTATCAAAAGTGAAGGCAAATTTATACCAAGAGCTAGGTATAGGGGCGGTGTTGAAAAAAATGCATTTGATAGATCTAAAACAGTGAACCATTTAGCTCCTGCCGCAACAGCCGCCATCACTTCTTGAAACTTTGCCACCACCGGCATCATTCCGGGTGTTACTTTGTTTAAGAGTCTCCACGTCTTTTTATCTGGCCAGATGGGAGAGTTACAAGTGCTTGAGGTTTCTACTAATACTTCTTGACCAATGAGGGCATTGATTGTCTCTCTGATCCCCTTTTCTACATCTCCTGAATACCTGTACTGTCATTGAGGTTTCGGAGCAGACCCGCCACTGTTACCCCAGCACTTATCTTCCCACACTGCAGCTTATATGTAGCAAAAGCATTAAGATATTTCATTGCTACTTCTGCAACTTCTTGTTCCCAGTTAGGAATCTTCAATTCCTCAGGAGCTTTCACAGCAGCTACTCTGTGGGATGTAGGCACAATGAATCCTCTCTATGCAATCTTGTCTTGAATTAAAATTCTGTTAGGCAAGTCCATAATAAGATTCAGTCCTTTTAAAATATCAACTCAAATTATCCCTTGTCCATCCAAAGACTGGATACCAAAGGTAGTTTTGGCAGTTAACCTTCCAGTGTTCTGTATTTTGGGCTCTAAGAAATGCACAACACTTTCTTTCCCATTGTAGCCTTCTAAAATTTTTATTTCTTGCTTAGGAAACTTCTTTAATTCTGATGTTGTCTTTCTACAGATAAGAGATAGCGTGGCACCTATATCCACAAGAATTGTTTGTTTGAATTTACCAAACCCCCCTTAAATGGGGCATCTACCGCTGGTCTTCCCCATGAGTCGTCAATTGGTGCCACCACTGAGGAAGAAGGAAGAGTTTGGCCCTATATGTCTGTATGATTTTGCAGCTGCATTTGCTTGACTGATGTGGCTGTTGATGTTTCATCGGAAGACTTGCTAAGTATGAAGGTGAACAGTTCATCAGTGGGCAATCTATCTATTGGGTCCTTTGTTTCATATTTCAGTAGAGGTCTTGTTTGTCTTGATAATTTTTTGATTCTGTGTGATTTGAGGCACCCCTCGTATCTGACTTTGGTACACAGTCCTTGCTATTGGAACTTGACTTCTTCCCTTTCTGTTCATGGGATTCAGTGTCTGCAAATTTCACTGCAGATATTTTCTTCTACTGCCAATGACTGGGAAAAGCTTCTTGCTGCAGTTCAAAGGCTTCTCTTAGCTTTTTTTCAATCTCCTTTAATGTCATTAGGACCCAAAGACCCAAGGTTAATCTTTAAAGTAGGAAGGAGCCCTTGAATGAACGCTTCCTTAAAGCATGCAGTGTCTCAGGTAGTGTTCCATTCACTATTGGTGACAGTCCTGATAACCAATATAGAAGTTGTTTTCTACTCAGAAGCCTCTCAGGTCTTTCATCAGGTCTTTGCTTGTCTGAGTAGTACTTCCCTATGAGATTTTCATGTGGAAAATAGAGTTGGTAGACTGCTTCAGAGACCTCTTTGATGTCTCTGGTGCTTGCAAGATGAACTTCTCCTGGCAAAGTGCTATACTCTTCACTACACATACACTCTCTCAATAAAGCTGGGGAGTCTTCCTTGCTGATGACTAGCATGCTGCTTAACATGCTTGGACAACCATACCAGTGCTCTTTCCTTGTTGAGTGGACCTAATGTCTTCCCAACAGCTCTTGCTTGATCAGGACCGTAAGGTTTTGTTTCGTATCTTGTCTCCACTGGTCTGTTAGGTCCATAATTAACCACAGTGGTGGTGACAGAAGCCATGGGGGGATATCTTTTCCCCTTCTTCATGTCCTTCAGGCTCTCTACTACTTCCAGTGCTTGAGGAGCAAAAGGACAGGAATCTATAGCCTTTGCCTCCCATTGACCCTGTACATAATCAATTTCTTCATCCTCTTCTAAATCTGAGTCCCCAGACCCATGGTTCTCTTAAAGGATCCCCATTTATTGCTGCAATAGTGCCTTTTGCTTTTCTCAGCTCTTCCCTTAAGTTACAAATTTTATTGTTACAGTGAGAAAGATTTCGGCTACCTTCCTGGTTTCTTTTAATATCTTTAATTAATTCTTTAGTAGAAGCCTGAGATTCCTCTAATTTCTTAATTAACACAAGTTTTCTTACTCTTTTTATTAATCTCATAACTTAACTCTTGTATCTGCTGCTCCAGCTGATTAATTTGCATTGATTGACCCAATGCCTGAGCTGACAAGGCATTATTCTGAGCAGTCAGCTTCTCTTTTTCAGTTTTCTGATGCCTTACCTGCTCTTCTAACCTGACTGTGATTTTTTTCTTTTGTGTGCCCATCTAGTTCATGTGCCAGCAATGCCCCTCTGCCATGTACATTGGTCAAACTGGACAGTCTCTACGTAAAAGAATAAATGGACACAAATCAGATGTCAAGAATTATAACATTCATAAACCAGTCGGAGAACACTTCAATCTCTCTGGTCACGCAATCACAGACATGGAGGTCGCTATCTTAAAACAAAAAAACTTCAAATCCAGACTCCAGCGAGAAACTGCTGAATTGGAATTCATTTGCAAATTGGATACTATTAATTTAGGCTTAAATAGAGACTGGGAGTGGCTAAGTCATTATGCAAGGTAGCCTGTTTCCTCTTGTTTTTTCCTACCCCCCCCCCAGATGTTCTGGTTTAACTTGGATTTAAACTTGGAGAGTGGTTAGTTTAGATGAGCTATTACCAGCAGGAGAGTGAGTTTGTGTGTGTATGGGGGTGGGGGGGATGTGAGAAAACCTGGATCTATGCAGGAAATAGCCCGACTTGATTATGTAAAGAGTTGTCACTTTGGATGGGCTAGCACCAGCAGGAGAGTGAATTTGTGTGGGGGGGTGGAGGGTGAGAAAACCTGGATTTGTGCTGGAAATGGGCCACCTGATGATCACTTTAGATAAGCTATTACCAGCAGGACAGTGGGGTGGGAGGAGGTATTGTTTCATATTCTCTGTGTATATATAAAGTCTGCTGCAGTTTCCACGGTATGCATCTGATGAAGTGAGCTGTAGCTCACGAAAGCTCATGCTCAAATAAATTGGTTAGTCTCTAAGGTGCCACAAGTACTCCTTTTCTTTTTGCGAATACAGACTAACACGGCTGTTCCTCTGAAACCTGTCATCTAGTTCTATTGACACCATCATCAAACCATAAATCAAAGCCCTTTTCTTTAGCTTGTTTGGGACAGGCTTAGTGGTAACAAAACTTTCCCACCTCGGACAGAGTTTCTCATAAGCCTTAGTCCTCTTAAACACAGCCTATGCCCAAGGCTTTTTACATTTTCTGAAATAATTCACACAATACTCGAGAGAATTTTTATTTATCTCCTTGCTCCAGCCATCGGAGCCAAAGGTTCTGGTGCTCATCCTGCAAACCTTACTGTCTGATCCACACACAGACACAACCTCTATGGCTGTGAGCAGTGCTCACCGGACTCTCTTTAGTCGGAGCCTGCCTTTCCCAGAGCTACCAAAGCTCAAGCAGTACCTACCAGCTAACCGTGCTGGCCTCTTCTTCTCCAGCAGCACTCACTGGACTTTTCCAAGTCCGAGCCTCTGCTTACCCAGAACTCACATGAGCTCAGCAGTGTCCAGCAATCTGTGCTGATGCCTGCTACACAGAGCTGATCAAAGCTCAAGCATCGCACACCCCAGTGTGCCTGCTGTACAGATCTTAGCAGCGCTCAACAGCAGTGTGATGCTTGCTTTATAAAATTACCAAAGGCTCAAGCAGCGCTCACTGGCCAGTGCTAGTGCCTGCTATTATGAAATTTTTGGATCCCACTAAGAAAGCAATCGACCAAACTGTCAGTGCTCCCACCCACAGAGTCTCTGGACCCTACTTAAACATTTCCTGAGTAGACTATAACAAACAAAATAGGGAAGGAGGGAATAACAATTCACAGTTCTCTAAGGGACAGCCGTTAATGGTCCTGTTGTGGTCGCCAAATGTTACAGGAATTTTTCTAATTCTAGGAGAAATCTTTATTAAGGATCCCCTCCTTTACAGGTTAGTCCCTTAAATTAGCATGTATCAACTATGGCAGTCCCCCAAGGACAACCACTACTCACAGTTAAAGGTTTAAAACAAACAAGTCGGATTTATTAAAAAAGCATTCAGAGGTTTAACACCCAATTGGCCTTAAGCCTGGCCCCAAAACCAAAACAATGTGGGTTACAAATAACAAAGTAAAGTAATCTACTTTACTCAGTCTTGCTCAGGAACTCAATGATGTCAGACCGGGACCGGACCATACGGGAACAGGAACCCCCGATCAGGAGCCACAAATCAGGAACTTGGGAACCACGGGACAGGAACACCGGAGCAGGAACAGAGGTTTCAGGAACAGGTAGGTGTCTTCTATCTTCTGTCTTCTCTGGTGTTAGGTTGAGCAGGCACAGTTTGTCATTGGGATGGGTAACACGAAGCATACTCGGTTGAGTCCTTATATAGTCTTTAGTTACTGGGCAGATTTTGCCACTGGGGTCAGATGACCCTCTCCCACCTTTTTGGGTTGCTGGGTAGATTCTAAACAGACTGCTAGGTTTTCCTGCCTTTTCCTTATTGCTGTGCAGCGTTTCAGACATCAGGTGCTATGGATTACCCAATCAGGGATAAGAAACGAAAAAGAGCACCAAACAGAATAGAAAGGACAACAAGAAACCAACCAAACAAAAGAAAATGGTAACAGCCCTGTAACTTTATAAGGCCAGCTAGATCCATGTAGAAGAAGCAGTTTAAACTTATATTCAGGGTTGAGGGTGGGAACTCCAGTATATATAAGAAATACATTTATGTGTATTTAAAAGGACATCTTTAAAAAAATTCAGTTTTGAGACCCAGAGCCTTTTTAATTAAAAATCTGTAAAACATTTTTTATAAGGGTCCTTCTGGTTCCCTTTTGATATTGGAGTCTTTCCAGCAAAAGCGAAACTGATTATACTGGGAAACAGAGTGACATTGACTATACACAAGTGCTGTCAAATCCACAGAAACTTAAAGAATAAAAATATTTTTTGCTAGCATCTTTCAATTACTGGATTTTATTTTAGGATTTTATTACATTATTTTCAGACTAATGTCATTTCCAAGTTGATAATGTCTGTTTCAGTCCCAATCCTGATAGAGTGCATGGATGGACTGTCTGCCCATGCATGATCAGCTGCAAGATCACGGCCATAAAGTCATTGGGCTTTCATTCTTAAATATCCCATAAACTAGCAACACTGGGCTAGTAAATATTTGAATGAGACCTCCAAGGAAAACCCAAGGTGCTGCAGGAGATGGTGTTTTTGACTGAGTAGGTGGCATTCTTCTCTGAGTTAGTATTGAACCACTGATGCTAGGAAGTACTGGTGCTGCTTTTCTTCTGAAACGTGAAACAAAGGCCCTGACCTTAGACATTAAAGATCCACATGATCTGTTTTTTATAAATAGTATGTATTGATAGGAATATATCTCATTTATTAGTCTGAATGGGAGATGATTTCTAAATTCTTGGCACATTGAAAGGAGTATAGTTTTTGATATTTTTAATATTCCTTGCATGGGTACACTGAAGCTCCTGGGAATATGTTCTGACTGATTTCTTTACTAGGCAATGTACAGACTAATCATTTATAAAGCATGTGTGACTGATGAATGTACGCAACTCTCATTTTTGCCAGCAGTAATTATAGAAACAAAACATAAGATACAACTTACACTTGGGTCTGCTCTATTTTAGCGATCATCATTCTGCTTTAAAACAGCTGCATCTTTGTCCTCAAAGAAGTATAACTAATGAAAAAATATTTAGTGTCTGTATAAGTAACAATTTTTTCTTTAAATTATTTTCATATGGTGGAGCATATTGAAAAATAGTCTAGACGTATGAGAACAGTATTTAAAAAGGGAACCACGCAGGGTGGATTTGATTTAAATTATGATTTAAATAATGATTTACTCACTAGTCAAGACGGCTCAATTTAGTCATTGATTTCTACATAAAAGTGCATTCTTGTTGGTTGTTATAACTTTAATACATATTTTTTACAACTCAGAGATAGATGTAGGTTTCATTTTTAGAAGGTACACACTATACATTTTTAAAGTGATTTATTTTGAAAATTTTTCAGATTAGTTTTACAGCTATATCAGAAAATGAATGATTGGTTATTTCATTTACCAAAGGTAAATGAAGCAGATATTTATGAAGTCACTGGGAGGTGAACTATCTCCAATTCAACAGGTTAATCATTAATATTAGGAGTATTTTCTTGCCATGCTGTATTAGGAGGAGAACATCACCAGACAGACATTTAAATTGTTTTATTTAACTAAAATATTCTTTCTACACCGGCAGAAGAAGCCACTGCTGTTAAAAGTGAGATTATCACTTCAACAGTCTCTAAATCCAAGTACTTAAGTGACTTCCACCAGTTCACTGGTGTGACTTTCTTTAAAACATCGTCAGCTAACATACATTTCTTGAATGGTTCTTATTCCCAAACTGGGTCTCTTTTACGGCCTGCTGCTATTATAGGTTTTCCCTTCTAGTGAGAGAACGGTATGGTAGATCTCAAGTCAATGAAGGCTACACTCAGAAAGACCTCAAGACTTCTGGAATATGCTGCTCAAACAGTTTCACTTTTGTTTCTACTGCCTGTCCCTCTCTTCTCACATTTATCTCCGGACTTCTCCTTCTTGTCCAGATCTATTCTGCCCCCAACAATCTTCTATTCGTTGAACTTTCTGAAACTTTGCACTTTTAGAGAGAGGTAAGGGATTGACTCTGTGTACACAAATTTGCAGAAGGACAATAGGGTTGAGGTCTGTTATTTCTCACCTCTATATATTATTTATTTATTTTAAAACATTTTTGCTGTTAACAAGCATGTTATCTCTGGAGACACAAATCCACAGTTTGAGAACTGCAAAACTGCTCAAGATGAGCAGTCCAAATTTATTAATTGGTTCACCATTTCATCAATGGAAAGTGGATATACACCAGCCTTTGCAAACCTGATCAGTTTTGCCACATATTTCATACAAACTCACTGGTAAAGATAAACAGTTAATCAAATTTATTGACTACAAAAATAGATTTTAAGTGATATTAAGTGATAGGCAAAAAGTCAGAGTTATATTTTATTTTATTTTGGAAACTAAGCATGCAGTCTAAACTCTCAACCCTATTAGACTGTGCAACATCTAGATTAAGCAGTTTTTCTCACCCCACTGGACATTGCAGTTCATAGTACCCAGATTTCACTCTTGAAAGCTGAGCCAGTCCCCTCAGCTGGAGTCTTTAGAGTGTCCTTGTTGCTTGCAGCGTAGGTGGGTGAAGGAGAAAGGCTCAGCATGGGCCCCCTGTGTTCGGTTTTATATCTTCAGTCCATGTGCTTGGAAAACACAAGTCCATGCATATCTGGGTGCAGTGCTGAGTCTCCAGGCAAGGTTGAGCAATTCCCCTGGTGTGGCCTCATGCAGGTGAGTCATTGCATTGTAGCTCCCTTGCTGGACAATGGTTGTTGATGGGTTGATTGACACCCCACCCTGGTGTTGGCTACTTTCCTTGCTGTTGCCTCTGGGGAGCTAATATCTGGCTGATTCCCTAACTTTAATGCAAGTTTTAGTGACCACCATGCAACATAATTCTCATAACTTCATATGCATTAATGATATACATATATGGATAGAGAAATGACTTTCAGCAGATCATAACCTTTCCCCCGATATCTTACAAGGCATGCTTTATACGTAAGATCATGGGATTATATAAAAATGAGGAATATGGAGGTTCCAGGATGCCCCCCCAAGGTATAGGATGTTACAATCTTACTCTAAATGAATACATTATTGGTGTATCTGAAATAAGTTATACTGAGGTCTCAATCTTGAAAATGGTTTTGCGTATGCACACAAGTAGTCGCACACAAGTAGTCTTGTTGACTTCAGTGGCACTACTTATGTGCCTGAAGTGTTTGAAGTAGGCCCTAAAAATGTTAATGAGAAATGGACAACAGTTAGTTTCTGTATTTTTATTTTCAAAGTCTGATGTCTTTTTTCCTCATATTGTTTTAAAACAAACTTTAATAAGACACTGTCTGGTTCAAAATGATTTTTTAAAAATTAAGTTTCTTTAATAGCACTTTAAATTATTAAATTTAAAATAATTTTAAAAGTCAGTTTTACTTGCTACCATTTAGACACTGGTCTTGCATTTTGATCCATGTGAACAAATTCCTGAGTCATGAAGATCTCCATTGATTTCAGTGGGTCCCTGCATCGGTGGAATGCAGGACCAGGGCCAAGAGCTTTTCAAGAATTGGAAATGTACTGGAACAGCTATCCCAGAATAATTAAATTATTCTAAACCAAACTATTTCTAGAGTTAAATTAGAAAAAGGCATTCTTATTCTGGAATAAGAGTGTCCACCTGGGCCATTATATTGAAATAATCTTGAAGAATTATTCAGGATAGCTATTTCAGAAAATGTCCAAGTGTAGAAAAGCCCTCATACAGTTGATTATTTGACTTTCACTCTGCTTAAACAGTGCAAATAAAAATTATCTAGGGTCTTTTTGGTTCTCATGCACTGGCACAGTGGTGCAGTATTTGGATTAGAAACAGTGGATTATATTTAAATCCCAACAAAAATTGATTTTATTTAAAAAAATAACCATTTCTATTACTGTTACGATATGTGAAATTTTATTAAAAATAAAATCTGAATTTGGAGCATGACAAGTCTTTGTAATCTGGGCATTAAATTTTGGCTTTACATTTTTCATGTCAGAAACAGAACTGGTACAGCTATATAGCTGAGTGGATTTACTCCTCTGTTCTTCCAGCATTGTTCCTTTTCCATAGTGCTCCCACTATGTAGTCCAGTTTCTCAAGGCAAGTACCGTTACAAAGAGGAATTCAAACAAGAGAACAGCATACCAAGCGTCTTCTAGGTGATTTGAAGGCAGCTGGACTACCGTAACATTTTCCCTCTCAGTTTAGGGCTGAATATCTAGCCCACAATTTACACAGCTCTCTGGGTCAATTAAGACCCAGGATAGGAAGATTTGTGCAGTGCATGTGGTGGTGGGTAGGAGGGAACCATCTCCACTGCGTGGGAGGGAACAGCAGACAGGCATTCTGACAAAGGATTACTTACTAACAATACTCCAACTGTGCCTGCACAGTGCCCCTGTAGGAGTCCTGTTGCTAGGCAAACAACTATTACAATGGGATTCTGAGGCAAAATCATGAAGGAGAGCAATTGCTCTGAGGATGTGAACTGCACTTGTTTCTGAATGAGGTGTTGATTCTGAATCCTAATAATAACAATTTAAATATCAGCACCTAATTATTTC